CAGAACAAATAAATTTTTTGCTTATTCTAAAAAAATGTTAATATAATAAGTATATTCAAATAGTTTAATTAATCGTTTGGGTATCTGTGATCACCCTCTATATATGGGTCCCAATGATAGAGTCAAATGGCCTTATTTCTTCATCACAGACTCAGGAGAAACTAGAAAATCTTTCATCATTAATACGATAATCAACATAATAAAAAGATACCCCTTACTTGCACCTACAGAAGTGGCAGTCCAAAATATTGGAGGGCAAACAATTCACTTAGCTTTACGCATCACTTCAACTGGTAGGACCTTTCGTACATGTGCTTACGCCAATACTGAACTAAACAATCAACTAAAAAATATTGACACTCTCGTTATCGATGAAGCGTTCATTATCTCCATAGACCTCTTCGATTTCATCTCCAACACTTTCGCGAACGTCCACAATAACTTTATTCCTTTCAGTAGTATAAACATCATCATCACAGGTGACCTAGCACAACTCCCTCAATAACTGGTCTACATATCTTCTGCACAGTAACTTGGCCTTTATTCTATCCATTGTTCTTAAGAAATCCACAACGTCAACAGAATGATCCTGTATTCTACGAAATATTGCAAAATATTCGAATAGGTTCTATATCCGCTGAAACTTGAAATACATTAGATCGATGTCATACCGAATTCTTCACTAGGTCATCAATCCAAAACCAACTCAACACCACCTATATCGTCAGTTTTAGAGAAATGGCACAACAGATCAATACGATGATCTGTAATACTCTTCCAGTTCCAGATGGTCGATTCATTATGTCTAAAGCAATCGATGTCGTAGATTCTGTTAGGTGGAAGTCGTCTTTTTCTGATCATATCTTTAAATCGAAGATGAATCTCCCTTCTTGCATTCATCTTCAATCTGATGCTTGAGTGATATATCTGAATAATACGATCATCAATCAAGGAATATGTAACGGTACAATAGGAGTAATCACTGATGTTGATATTGACAAAGATTCGGTACAGGTTGCATTTTCTATAAGAGGTTCAATAGTCAATATCATTATCTACAAGCAAACCAACTACTTCTAACTAGGGTTCCGCAATTCAATTTGACATTTGAATATTTGATTTGAAAATCAAATCAAATACAAATTCAAATTTATAT